ATTGCTAATTTAAAACTGCAGTAATTTTTCACATTTTCAACATTAGATTATTATCTTACAAGTAACTTTCTCTAATTCTCGGGAATAGAAAAACAAACCTCAATATATATTATTTTACAGCAACAATTTTTAAATGAAAATAGCAGAACATATATTATTTGCAAGGCAATGGTATGCCAGAAACATTTTCTGCCCTGCAAGAAACCCAAAAACTTCTAGAGAATAATGTCGAAGTCATTTCTCAGTATATATTCCCCTACTGTTGAATCCACAGTTTAAGACTATTGGCAGTGTACGTTTTACAGTGAAACTTGCGTGCTAAGATCTAGCACTACATGGACCAACTTGGAGCATTTTCTGTGACTAACCAAACAGGATTATGAACAAAGCATTAGTCTGTCAAGATTCTTAAATAATTAAATGATTGAAATAAAATATATTCAGGTGCAAAGAATGCCTGTGCCTTGTGTATGTCTATGCATGAGTATGCACTCTTGAATTTGTGTTAGAATGGGCAAGGATCATTCATGACTTAGTATCATCCATTGGAATATACAACAAGAGTTGAAAGGAACCCTTCAATTTGTAATGTGCATATTTTTCAAATGCATTCTTTGCACTTCAGTATACATCATTATGTAACTGTATATAGATTTCTATTGTACTTCATATAAAAAGTCTGAGACCAAAATCTGACCACCATTTTCCAATTTCTTGAACAATAAACCATTTTTGAGAAAAATTATGAAACATTTTATTTGAGACTGATGCAAACAGGGTTATATGACCAATACAACTTTAAGATTACAAAACCCCCTCCAAACACCAAATGTTATAAAAATCCATAGAAAAATTTCAGGAACAAAACATGGATAGATAGACTATCTCATTATTGTTCTTTCACTTTATCCACACATAAACCCTAAATGCTCTGCCAGACTGAAATTAGCACAAGTGTACAAAATTTGTGATGTGTACAACCATAAAAAACATACATAATTCACACCAGACTGCCAATTTTTACCTCTATAAACATTACACAAAATAGTAGTCCATAAAAATCAAAAATAATATTAAAAGTTGAAGTTATCAATTAAGGAAAATAGCAAACTTTCTGGATTTCAGTTTGTAACATACCAATGTCATTTACTGTCAGTATATCATGATCATCACATTTCTGCCACTGCCACTGTAAGAGTCAAGCAAAAATTTATCAAACTAGCTAATTTCATCTGATGTTCTATATTAACCAATGTCAATCTTTGGCAGTACCACAGATGATCAAATGTGGCCACACAAATGTACAAGAAATATTTCACTTACCAATCATAACATTAAATAAGACCTGTTTATTAGTTAAACAATGTTCATACTTGAAAAATATTAGTTCAAAAGAAAGAATTGTAAGAAATTTTCAGTTTAAAATTTAGCAGCTTCATTTTCTTTTAAACACTTAAGATCATTGGCTTATAAACGTATTTTTAAATATTAATAATCCAATCTCAATTTGAACCCATCACTTGGCACCTGAGTAATGCTACTGACTTTATGGCAGCTCAATGTACAAAAAAAGCACAGAAACAATATGTAACGAGGTTACACTGCAGACAACTTTTTTCTTGACCATGACAGATGTGCAAACTATAAGGAAATTACTTGAACTACCGCATGTTCAATGCTACACTGTGATGACTGTCATCATGTTATCATCTTCTATGATGCTGAGATAAAGCTACTCAGACATGGACTCGCCATATAAGTTCTAAGAGAGGGCACAAACACACTAGACACTCACTGTGCTGTGCTAATATACTTTATCACTGATTAATTTTACATTTCTAAAATATCAACTATACAAATTCATATTATCTTTGTTGAGAGTAAAACTGTAAAGTTACCCATAACCCTGTATGAATCGAGCCGGACTTTTGAGTCCTACAAAACTTAACAATTCTTTAAACATCTATCTTCTTATGTATAAAGTGAAGCTTTCACGGTGTTTGAAGTTGATCAAAGACTCTCAGGCTACAAGCCACATCAGGTGGCCGAATGGCTAACAGCGAGCGCGCTACAGAGGATCAGTTTTGTTACGCAGCTGCCCTGAGGATGTTAGCAGACATGGCTCTCAAAACGTTGGCAGAAAATATGGTTTACTCACCATTCAGCCACCTGGCACGGCTTGTAGCCCGAGAGTCTTCCCTCAATCTATCTTCTTGATGACAAGAATTTCTCTTCACATGCCACAATTTATCTTCTCTCACCATAAATTTCCACCATGTATTTCCTCAAATCACAGTATTAAAACACTTGGCTATTTTCTTCCCTTTATGTTTATGATAAAGATGATTACACTCAATAACAGAATAAAAAAAAAACTACTACAGACAACTGTCCATCAACTTGCAAACAGACAGTGCTTGAAATAGAACAGTCCAAAAAATTAATCACAAAGTTCTAGAAAAAGAACTGTAATAGCTTCTTAACACAGCATGTTAGTGTAATTTCCTTAAAAAAACAGTACTGTAGCACCTATAAATGCTCAGGTAGGACATACCATAAAAAAGATTCAGTATGACACACGCATAAAATTATCAAATTTACAATTTCCTTATTGCACTATTCTTGCAGAACTGGGCTGTTTTAAAGTTAAAATTTATATCCATTCCAAGCACTGCAGACTAGCTATCCACCCTGTTGTCCTATCAGCCTAAAAATAGTTAGTAACTTATAATAAAACTCCAAGACATACATTGTAACAACCTGCAATTCCAGCCCCTTCAGCTCTAACATTACAGATTCTCTACTATATGCAATGAGGTATAATACAAAATGAATGTCATTCAGCTACTCTTTTGTGTTATGTACAGGTGATAACAAGAGTCCACGTAATAGAAAATATGTTCCAGGATACTGTTAACATTAATATAAAGGACAAGAATTTTCAGACATGGAACAAATACAGATTTTGCTGCATGCTTTCCCATCCCCCATCACTGACAAAGCAAAAACTTATAAGTGTAAAGAATACCTGTGCTTGCCACCTTATCACTGGAAGTCAATGAAATCCCATGATTTTGGTATCCTCACCTCAGAAACATTACGTAGTCATCCCTGCACCCAGGTAGAAATCAATATAGTCAAATAATATAAGTGGGAATATCAGAATAAAATTTTTATCATTCTCATCCCTTTCCTTGGCCTCAGCATAAAATCACACCAAGATATGGCCAGCATTCTCTTCTTGGCTCGATTTCATACAAAGAGAGCTTCTTGAATGATACTAACATCTATATGTAAGTATTTAATTTATGAAAACCTTGAAATAAAAAAAACAAACAAACAAAAACAAAGCGTCATTCTATACAAAGTTCAAAATGTGAGTATCCTCACTGGATTTCATTTATATCTATTGAAAAATCAAGAGTGATATGGCTTGCCAAACTAGGATGGAATTTAAATACCCAAAGTAAATAAAGGGTTAATTGGGTTGTGATGCTGTGTAGTCTTGTAGGTGGTTACCAATGTTTTAGAGGAATGTATCACCTCCATTTTCTCCAAAATGTAACTGCTCCAATATTACACAGCATCACAAGCCAGATGACTACAATTAACATTTCTACTGCCCTGAAATCATCAAATCTTAGAAGCAACTCACCTCAGTTTTAGCCAAAGCTGTCAACAAATGTTCTGCATGGAAAGTTACAGAAAAAGAGTGATATGTTTTCTTCCGGCTAGTTCTTTGACCACTCACTTTTGATACAGGAAAGTCTTCCAACATGTCAAATGTAAGTACCATAAATTAAAGTTAATTTTCCCATAAATGACCTCGCTGTATCAACAAAGATAATACCACTTTCAAAAGAAAGAAGTATCTATTTAAGGAATTTTATGAAAAAGCTAATAATGAGTTTATATTACTTTTCAGGTAATGGGAAGAAAAATGTTACTCCACTGCTTTGATGGGTAAACAATTTTTTTTTATACAGATCTCTACAAAAACCATCAAATGTTATTATATTCATGAATTTTGTACCTCACAATAGTAACTTCTAACTTTATTTTCAAAGACATTTAGGAATCCTGGGCTTTGGAATAAATCAACTGAACTAAAAATTTATTTTGTGGTGTATGCTTGATAGCAAAACTATTGACATATGCAGCAGGCATAACTAGGTAATAAAATAATACAGTGGTTTACTATGAATTTTGTAAGCATCTGATATTCACATCAGTATAAACCAAAAGCTGTGGGGCCTCTCATCTAGGTTCAAGTGTTCCCACAAGAATAAAACTTATACATGAAAACTTAAATATGTCCCCATGAAGTAAAATATTTATGGTAATCATTCATTTGACCAATCCTCTGGCTAATTCTGTTTAATCATTTCTCTGGGCTATGTGTTAAATCACATCAGATCAGCTGGCCATCTCCTGGTCTCTTTGTGAACCCACTCCAAGAGTGTAAGCTTATCATTCGACATCTGAAAGACAGTATATGACCCATAAAAATCTTAGAAGCTAAAATATAAAATAGTCATTCTGTATGATATCCGAGCTTTTGGTCTTTTTCAACTACATTTTATTTATATCAATTATGAATCCTTTGTTGAAATGGCCTGTCAGCCATGGCAGAGTTTCTATTCCCATTGTGCTAAGAAAAAGGTTAGACCACATTTGGTTTTTAGTTTTGTTACACAGTAGAAGTGTAAGACATTAAACACTATATGATTTGCCAAATGTACTGTTTTCAGAGAACTTGTGGGGGCTGGAAACTTTTAAGGAAATAACTCCAGTATCTTAATTTCACTCTGAACCCAAGAGAATTACCTGCTACCACAATTAAAATTCTATCTAACACAGGATTAACTTGTGAAGTGCTACTTTTTCTGTCATTTAAAGTATCTTAATGTTAGTTCATTTAAATGGGATTTGTTACTTGGCTTAGTGTTTGTACCTGTACTTGAGCTGTAGACA